ATACTATCGTCAGCCCACTGGTTGAAAGCAGGTAAGATGCAAAGTAGAAAACACAGCTTTTGGTTTTAAACAGTTTTGTCTATTTATTAGTTCAGTTCTTAGAAAAAGGATAGTGAAAAATTCAAAGCCATTATTGCAAAGTCTAGACACTGCAAGTACTAAATCATTTCTTTGTTGCAGCACACGATCTTCTTGGGCTTACAATGCTGTAAAGCCCTGACCAATTATCCTGCTGGAGATTCCCTCAGGATATTACTCTGAATTTGCCCAACTCATGCTACTGCCTTGTCCTCAGAATGGGCATTAATAGCAACTTCCTTCTCTGATCTAGCCAGTTACTCACAGAATTCATACCAATACAACTCTGGAGAGTTTTTTTGTTCTATTAAAGCAAAACTAGTTAACAGCTTCAAAAAGATATTGCCAAGGCAGAGGGAAGGGGATCATTCTTAAACAGAGAGCGATAGAAAATGCAACGTTGCCCATCGTATCTAATAGACTACATGCACTTTATTTGAATTAAAAGCACACTCAAAATGTCATTCTACAGAACCATGATTTGTAAACTTGCTTGCATTTAGGCTTGCTTCTAAAAATCAAGTTAGGACTAGTAGAGAAATCTAGCTGAATTCACCAGAAAGATAATTCCTGCATTAAGAAGCTTTCTTACTCGACACATCGCAACAGCAGATAAAAAAATTCCCAAGTTATTAATACTGACGGTCAGATGCTAATCACAGATGAACCACACACTTTGCTCGTATCACTAAAGTATCTTAAGTGGCAACACACAGGAATACACAAGTGAGCTTGGAATTTCACCTTGAAATACCTGTCCTCACCTTGCCCTGCGGAGCTGCATCATCCCCTCTCCCCATTTAAGTGACAAACGGTTGGGAGTTTCAAGTTAAACTGTTTCACCATCCATCCTTCCTCAAATTGTGAAGAACAGCGTGAGGCTATGCCAAACTCCTTCTTGCTGAGGAAAACCAAACCCATCATCTTCTAAGGGAGCAGTCCCTAGCTAACCCTTGAGAGCTCTCTCAGAACACAGACAAGGGTTCCATCCTTTCTCATAATCTTCGTGCTCCAGCAAAGCCCAAGTTTTGGCATTCTTGCAGTCAGACCAGAAACACCTTTCTAGACTCATGAGCTTGTCCAGCATTTCTACAACTCAAGAGACCACACTGCTGAGACACTGAAACAGAACGAACACAAGCCAGGTGAGGAACTTAAAGTGTCATGGCTACATGATCTTAAAAACGTAACAGGACAAATGCAGGCATCGTGGCACTAATATGACCAGGCAGCTTTCAGGATTTGAGTTACTCTCTCTGGTACTACGGCATGCTCTGTAGACACAACGCTTTACTACAAGCAACCTGGGATCTGGCAGCCTTGGGGATGCTCTGCACAGCGTCAACACATCCCTACTGCTGTATTCCTAATGTACTCTGGAGTTTTACCCAAGGACAAAAGCAGCTCAACAACTTCACATAATCAACTTCAAGAACCTGATCATCACCACTAGCTGCCAAAGGGACAGGACATCTACCTCACATCCTGGTTTTCAATTCTCCCCAACCTTCCCTCACAAGTTGAGCTGGAGGTCAAAGTAAAACAAGACAAAAATCACCAAATATAGCCAATCAAAAAGAAACTTTTTTCATCAGAAAGTTAAGAGCGATCCTGATATTTACAAGCAACAGCTCGAAACTTTCACTAAATATCTTGCAAAGCTCAGATCGTAACCATAACAATACCTAAACATTAACTGGAAAATGCTGTTGTCAGCCTTCTCTAGGACATGATCCAAACGACTTTATTCTCACCTCCATGGAAAAGCCAGTGGGATATAAAATTAACTGTGCTGAATCCAACCACTTTGGCACTTATGAAGGAAACCTCATCGGTCAAACTGGGACAATCCTAAACTTCTCCCATGAAACCATGTCTGCGGGAGGCTGGTGGAAAGGCCCTGAGGGAGACTTCTCTTTATCAAGGTTTCTTTTAATTAATAGTATACACTGTCATATTAAGCTGATATAAATTCCATATAAATCAATCTGGAGCTGTACAGTTAACTCTGGATCTGCAAGACGCACCCAGTTCCTATTAAAATGCACACCAGGAGGTTAAATACACTGCTCCTTCTCAGAGTTACTTACACTGCCTTAGAATATTAAAAGTAAAGTTTTAGAACATCTGGTTTTCCTTTCCACTCCCTATGATATCATGTTTTCCATGCACACTTGGCAGCTCACAGTAAAGATACAGGCAGACTAAACATGCAGGGTAATGTAGAGTCAAGATGAAAATCCAAAGCCCTGGATGCAGCAAGTGTGTTTCCTATCTCCAGATTTCAGTTACACAAGTGGTAAATAAGGGTTTTCCCCACCCTTAATAACTCATGTATACTTCAACCTTCTTCCTTGATGAGATACCATATAACTGCCCTCCACAGTTTCTGTGCCTTTGTAAATAAGCTTTCACGCATTATGGGATATTCAGAGTCCCTATACAGCAAGATTCAGTTATAGGGGAAAAAAAAAAAAAATCATGTTTAACAGGGTCAGACTTTGCATGTACTTCTCCTTATCTCATTCTGGGAGATGAGATTCACCTTCTATGTTCCCCTTGCCTAGAAGGGGGGGAAAAAAGCCCACTGCAGGCACTGCTTTTTATGGCTTGGTTTTGTGCCTCCTAGCCTAGAACTCAGAAATTGCATCAAATGCATGTTTTCCATGATTTTACACAGGCTGTAAACAACACAGAAAAGTGGCTGTAACAAAAACTAAGAGCTGCCATTTTACTGATTCCTCCCATGTATTTTAATACATCTTGATGCAACCTTTGTATTGTTTCCTTTTCACCTATTATTTTTACTGAGCCACATTCAAAACACAGATTAGTCAGCATGAACATACCTCTAAGGTTAGTAATACCCACATTTTATTGATGCACAAAAACCTAACTCATTTATGCTCACCAGTGAAGGAACAGCAAACCTGGAAATCAAACATCAGTTTCTCGCCCCAAATCTTAATTTCTCCTTTTTTGTAAAAGGACGGTTTGGAAATGCAAAGGGATGCCTTGAGAATCCTAACATGACACAGTCTTTGGCTTATTATTTAACAGCAGTTTATATCATTGTAATTAGTAAAGTGTACAAAAGAGGAAGAGTACATCTTAAAAGAAACTACTGACAAAATAGTCCCAGAGGTTATGCCCTGATTAAAACTTAATAACTAATCAATAAAACCATAGTTATAACTTTCACCCTGATCCAATTTGGAACGGTTTATTTATATGAGTCATCTAAGATTTCATATAAAACAAATGTGAGAAGATCTTGCTTTATGCTATTTTTATTACAGGTTTATTGTAGCAAATCTCTAAATCCCCATCTCAATTATTTTACAGCTTAGTTCTCCCATCACACCAAGAGGAGCAGAAAACCTAGCAAAAAGCAAAATCTTATTAACTGAATAATAGCTGTTACGGCATTGCAGTTTCCATACCATAAAGTCATTTCAATGGCTATCACTATGAATTTCCCTGGCCATACAGTAGCAAGAGCCAAGCATCTAAGACAGCTCTGACCAACTCCTTTAACTCTGCTGCATCTCCATTTATCAGCTTGAAAATGAAAGGAGTAAGTGCCTGAGCTGTGATGCTCACAGGACCACAGACCACCTTGGAAGAAAACAGGCAACAGGTTCTGTAATCATGTGAGGAGTCATCTGCAGCCAACTGCTGATAAGTCACATCCAGTTATAATTTTCCCACCAAAACCTCACAGGCAGAGGCAGTATATTATAAATAACCCACTTGTGAAAGAAGAGACTTGTTTTTCAGTGGATTTTATCACAGAGCACTGGTACCTCGTTATGAGCCCATCTGTTATTTCACTTGATTCTGAAACAGCACTTGAGAAGCTTAGAACCCCTCTTGGATCTGCTGGTCCATGAGATATCAGGCTAACAAATTTATCAGGGCTATGCATTGCCATAGTGATGAAGAACTTCACACTTATTTCTAACAGCTTTTAGAGAATTTCTACGGAAGCAAGTTCTGTGCATTGCTTGAAGTTAGAAATCATGGCCTGACAGCACAGGCTCTAACCAAGATAGAAAAAAAAACCCTATCTGAGGCAGCAACACAAAACATATTCCACACAGCCTTAAATCACCTTCTATCTACTCCCACCTATAACCACTACCAGAGTGGTTACAGGGTGCTATATTCACCTATCTTCATGTGCTTGGTGTGTTAAATTAAGTTCCGTGGCTAAGTCCCATTCAATTTAATCAGAATCATTTCATTTCCACAGAAGAATAAAAATTACTTGGGAATCAAAGCTGAACCCACAGAGAGCAAGGAGAGCTGAACTGCTTCCTGTGGGAAGTGGCTAGGCCATGCTGCTATAACAAGTCACCTTGTGCTAAGTTAAAATGGCACAGATCCCTCTGAGGGATTTTGGTGAACCTGGAATATATTTTATTCAGATAATCCAAAGCAACCATGCTCTTTCTGTTTGCAAATAACCTCAGGAACAGTTATTAAAAACACCATATACAAGCTTCTAAGATAAAGCACCTTCACTATTCACCTACAGATATGTTTGGGTCTGGATCACACAGGAACCATCATCATTTGATGACATTGAGAAGTGCTCTCTTTCAACACTTGCTACAATCCAAATAGACTTTGCTAGAACACCAAATTCTAGAACACAAAATGGAGTGTCACATACTGGCTCTTGTTAGAAGTGCTACTAACTCATTTATTCACTTTGAAACAATCCTTACAAGTGCCAACACTTCATTAAAAAACATAAGTAATTTTTACGAGGACTTTCACGAGTATAAAGATGGTCAACACTCAAAAAGTAAGATATGACACGAAACCTGAGGTTTCATAACTGAATGATTTCATCTCCTCCCACAGACACAATATAGGACCTTCTTCCCACAGACACAATATATGACCTTTCTTACCACTTCTGCGAGGGAGGCAGCCACCATGTGTGTTGCTGGAGCCAAGCAGGATGCAGAGCCATGGTGCAGCATGGATTTCACATTCTCATAGGTGACAAAAAACGCAGCAGCTGAAATTCAAGAACACATGCAGTCATTCAACTGCTCTTCCAGCACCAAACTAGCACAAAAAAAAAAACAACACAAAAAACATTTAGAGCTGGATTTTGTCACTCATTATTCTGCACATGTAGTTCAAAGCAGGATTTCTTCCCCCAAAATGGTACCAATGAAGTCTATAGGATAATTCCTGCAGAAGTTTAAGCTTCTGGTTATCACTGGAAAATCTCCTATTAATATCAAAGATGCCAGGACTTTAAGGCCATTCTTAGTACAGAGATAAGGAAAGATGTGTTATGAATTAGTCATGAATGTCCAGTAGGTTGGGGGGGGGCAGGGGAAGGTACCATTCCTAGGTAGGAAGGGTAGAGAGGAGATTGTTAGATTGAATTAGATGGTCTTTATGTATGTGAAGGGGAACAATCAGTAAATTGAAAAGGGGGAAAAAAATAACTAACCCAAAAATCATCATGGCACATGACATAAGTCTCTACCCTGCAATGTGTAAAACTGTTTCAGTAGCAGTTATTAATAACTTCTTCCTAGCTATTGTCAGTTTCATATTTCGCACCCTAGCTCCAAAAAACCCATTCTTCCAAGTTTCTGAAGGACTTGTAAAAGTCCTGTTCAGTGAACAAGAAACATACAAAAATAAATAGAGCACAGCAATACCAGCCATGTTTATTCACTGCAAAAGTCAGCTACAAAGGCATTTGCACCTTAAGGGTTACTCCTGCTCCAAAAGATAAGTTCTCACTCATACTTGGAAAGATAAAACCACAGTTCAGATTCTGAAGATGTAAATCATGAGAAAACTGACATGTCTTGCAGGGGAACAGATTTTAATTGTGAAGAAGGGCTCTGTGAATTGCTTTCGGTTAATCAAAAGATGCTTATCACCTCAGAAGGAGATAACAGAGCAGACAAGATAAAGAACTGAATTTTTTTGTATCACCTTATGAAGGACATCAAACATCTGAAGGTATCAGTGGATTTGTTAGCAAAGTTTTCCTAACATTCACTACTGACAGCATAGCCTGTTGTTCATTTATCCCTCCCTACAAAGACTTAGATGCTTTTTTCTCTGCAGGGACTACAAGCATTTACTTTTTTAAAAGCTTCATTTTCAAAAGTTTTCCTGATGTCTTATCATTTTAAGTGGTGTAGTTGTTTCCAGGAGAAAAAGACAAGCAGAGCATCCCCAGGGCAATGAGCTCAAAGACCTCCAGTACTCAAACACTTTGAATTTCGAATCATTCCAAATGGTCTGACAGAGCGGGTCATGACAAAAGGGCTATCAAGACTCAAGCCCTCTTTGACACCCAAAAATGCTTCAGGGTACCCCTGTAAGTAAGGATAGTAAGGAATGATTCCAAGGAGTAAGGGTTGCTTTTCTGACTAAACATGCAGCAACCTTCATTCCAGGCTTGCTGAAAGAGCTTGTTCAACTGTGCAATTCTAGCAACTGCTCTTCACAGGTGGACGTGGACTCACAGAATCTAAAAATCACCTGCAGGAGAGGAAGCAATGAGCACAAATGTCCTAAACTATAACAGTTCCTACTTAAGGACAACAAAGAATAAGCCAAAGAAAATTTACCATTTGGAAATGATCCTATAGCAGTAGAAGGAACACCAGCATAGATGCCACGAAAACCACCAGCCTTCCTAAAGCCTTGAGGACTCTGCAGTCTTGTTTTTACAGTATCCAAAGGAAAAAGGATCAAGTCAACACAGACACCAGCAACTCCACCAGCCTTCAAGACAAAACCATAGAGTAAAGTGCATTAATATTCATAGGTGTGAAGCTGTGGTGCTTATGTGATAACTGAGGCAAGCCTAAAGCAAAGCACAACTGACTGGATCCCTTCTGAGGTCAATTTATAAACTGACAGACTTACACAGATCTCAATAGCTTTATAGCTATAACAAGGAGGCTTCAACAAGAGAGAAAGTAATAGATATTACAGCTTTAAAAACCATTTTTAAGGTATTTTCAAAACAATTTCAGTGTTTCAGATAGTACAAAGTAACACTTAACACCTTAAACATAGAAACAAGACAGTGAATGCCACTTACCAATATAGGACAGCACAGAATGATCAAAACCTCTATGAAGTTGCGTGATAAGATCAGGGAAATACAGAAGCAATTCTGCTTCACCCTAAGCATCTCTAGAAAGCACTTTCCCATTTTTTCTAGCAAACTTCTTCATTTAAACTATCAGGCCTCATTTCATTTGTTGAGCAAAGCCTGAAGTAAAACTGCTTTATTTTTCTTTTGCTGTCAAAAGTCCATAGAGGAAAAAAGTCGTATTAAAAAAAAGATGTTTTCAAAGGTCTAAGAAAAAATGGAAAGTTTTCACCCACAGCAACTCTTATAACCAAACCCTAAAAAATCAGTTTCAGCTAAAGCCATCCTTTTCCATTGTCTCTGTTTCTAGTTGACTTTCTTTAGTTTCCCCAGGACATAGCTATAGAAAAAACCTATTTGTCAAAAACAGGAGGAGGAGACTAAAAGAAGTATGAAAACTCATTTCAAAAGAAAAAAGTATGAACAGTTACCATTAACCTATTATGATTAATGATTATAATTCAGAACAGAAAACAGAGTCTGAAGTCTACCCCATATAGAGCAGCACACAAGAAACAGCTGTGCAGGTTTTTAACTGCCTGAAAACAAATCACATGTGTTTGATTGGGTTCTCTTCAGGACCAACAGAAGATTCACAGAGATGCTCACTATTCACTACTAAACTTTGAATCAATAAGTTAATTACTCTTTTAATCTAGTTGGCTACTTTACATGCATTGATTTTTTTTTCGCATTTTTGTCATCAAAATCCTTATCTGCTCAAAATAACATTGATCAGATTTAATCTAGCCATCTGTTAAAACACGAATCAAAAATTACTAATCACTTCTTTCATTTTCAAAGTTCTGTATCTCAAATGTTATTTAAATTCATGAAACAGGTAATAGAGCCCCTACCAGAGGCCAGCAATACCTGGGGGCTTACACCATCTGGAGAAAACAGTAAAGATTTTTAGATAGCAAGACAGCTGAATGCACCTTTTCCCCCACCTTTCTGTAACAGCAGCATTATTAAACATAGAACAGCTGAAAAACCTTTACCAGGAGTTGAACATACCCTTAAACTTAACTCCATCAAAGCAATTAAGCAAGACCAGGACCTAATTCAAATGCATTGAGCCTTGCAGCTGGCAGGGATCTGAACCCTCCCAACAGGCACAGGTCAGCAGCTCTCCTCACACTAGCTAAGGGCACCCCACCCATGATTTTCCACACAGAACCCACAGCAGTCACTGGGTAATTCCAAGGAGGTCCTTACCTATGGGGACCCCTTACATGTGATGCTACCGGGTGAAAACATCGAGAAGTAACTTTTAGGGGGAGAAATGATTCACAAAGGACCGTGCACGCAGACAGCCGAGACGAACCAAGGCACCGGCACCTGAGGCCGCCGCGTCTCCTTGGCAACGGGCAGGCCCGGACCCCGCTCACTCACCGCCAAGGCCGCCCAGGACTCCCGCGGCTCCATGCAGGGGTGGCGGTACGGGGCGGGCACACAGCGCAGCACGAACCGGCTACCCCCCCGCCGCGGAACGGGGCTAGATCCCCTGCTCCGGACGCGCCCCGGACGCGCACACGGGCGCAGCCATGTTGCTGCCCCTGACCCGCGGTCAGGCGGGACCGTGTCGTCACGGCGCTTGCGCGCGGCGGAAAGCGGCACCGCTAACGTGAGTGGGGGCGGTTCCTTCAGCCTCGCTGTAGAGCGGTGTGGAAACCGCGCGTTAATTAGCAGTCGGCGTTAATCAGTTAATACGTTGTTGCTGAGCGTTGATTAGTGGGTAAATCGCTGAACAGTAGCAGCTGTGCCGCTCCGGGAGAGGCGGGAAGAGAGCTGCCCCCGAGGGGCTCTTGGAGGCAGTTGCTCCCATGGCTTTTTCTGTTCTCGCGGCCTCTCAGAGCAAACCTACGTCCACTGAGGAAAAAAAGGCATTTCTGAGGGAAAAACATTCGTGAAGTCGCTTGGGGGGGTGTTTCCTCAACCCACGTCTGCAGCATGGTCCTGGTGCTGTCCTGTGCAGGCTCCCTGTTCGTGCAAACAGATCAGAGGGACATAGAATCATCGAATCAGCTAGGTTGGAGAAGCCACTTAAGGGCATCAAGTCATGAGTAAAGCTTCCTGGCCAGGGACATCTTTTCCTGCCTGCTCTCAGGAGGTGTGTTGGCTCTCGCTGGAAGGCACAAAGTCCTCACGTAACCCTCACCAGCAGGAAAGCACACTCGAGCTTACAGGAAGTGCGATTCCAGGGGAGGGAGAAGGGATAAATGTTGGAGAGCACTGCAGTGCATGTGGAACCAGAACATCACCAGGCTTCAAGTCAAAGTTTCCTTGGCTGCAAGTACATCACTTGGGGTGAGGTTTGGGTGTTGCAGCTGAGGATGTGACAATGGCTCAGCATCAGTGACTGCCTTCAGGTGCTCAGCTCCCCTTCATCAGACTGCCAGTGGTGGTTGCAGGTGGGAAGCACCCACCTGCCCATTCCCACACCTCTGCCCACAGCAGCATAGTGACTGAGATCAAAGTGGAGATCCCAACTCCAGCAAATTTATTACAGATCTTATGCAACACCAATTGTTGCAGATTGTGTTCTGAACTGCCTCAGTCCCCAGGTATAAGCAATGTCAGAGTAGCCTTCATTTCATTTAGTTTTCATTTAAGTGAAAAGCTCAGAGCTCTGCAGGCAAAAATAGAAAGAAGCTGGATGTATTATATTTCTCAGCCTCCTTTGATTTTAAGGCAGCTCCGTGGTTTCCTGGTCCTAACTTAATGATTTTTACAATAATCTGTTGGGTTATCAGTCCTGAGTTTTAATTTTTGTTGTGCTCATCAAGGATCACTTCTTGTTTCAGATCAGGACATGATCACATAAGTGGAGTCTTTTGACAGCTGGTGATAATAATGTCCCCACCAGAGCTGGCTGACCACCTTTCCTCCAAAGCCTGTGATGTTCATGAAGCCAAAAGCAAGCCAGTTTGCTGTCCTAGGAACTGATCCTGAAAACTTTGATTCTGATTCCTGGAAGAAGCAGGAGCCATGGCTACATATTTCAGCTGTAATATAGCAAAGACTGGACTGTGAGCAGTTATACCCAGCAGAGTACCTGGGTTTCCAAAAGAACCCTGCTGTCTAGACAGAAACAAAAGTGATTTGAAATCCACCATTTCCAGCTGATGTTCTGGTAATTGGCTAAACAAACACAAAAGGAGGAAGTTCCTCATTTTCCAAGTCCATGTCCATCACTGAATTAGGTGCATCATTAAATCAGGTGCTTTGGAACAATCCTGAGGGAAAAATCTGACATCTGCAGTAAATGAGGCATGCCTTTAGAGTTACTGCTATCCCCATACAACCTACTGATGGCAGCATTTATAACGAGACCTCATTTCCCACGTGTGCCCAAGAGGTCTCTGGATGTAAAGGTTCTTGGGGTCATAGCAAGCATTTTTCGTATTGTGCAGTGCAAAGCTTTCAAATACACTCTGCGACTCTTATTTATCACCTTCTGCCAGAAGAACTGCTCCTGCATCATAGAGGTCACAACCTCCTATTGTTCCAAGCCACTGTCCCGTCTTAAATGAACAAGTTCTGCTTAATGCCGCAAGCCAAACATTAATCTTCATGCTACGTCCTTCAGTGAAGTCCCCCTGAGCTTGCAGAGTAAGTTGAGTGAAAAAAAGAGATTTGTTTTCTTGTGTCCTTTCTTTCTTGCCAGAAAACACTGCAGGTGCTCCCCAGCATCTCCACTGCAAGTGAAAAAGGTGGGCTTAGCAGAAAAACATAGCACAGGCAGATGAAGCATCTGACTGCACCCGAACAATGGGTGTCTGTGGTCCCATCCCTTAATTCAACCCTGTTTCCAGCTTGTTTGTGGTCTTGTACCTTCTCCCAAGCCTGGTTTCTGCTGTGGCTGAAGGGCGAGCTGGGGAAGCTGAGGAACAAGCCACACTCTGCTTTTCCCAAGCACTACTGGTGCAATACCCTATACCAGAGGAGAATAGATAGTTGTGTCCATACTGACTCTGCCAGCTCCAGAGCAGGTTGTTAGCCACTGGGTTTTTATTCAGCTGTTTCTATCTCCTTAATTGTTCCCTTCTCTCTTTCTCTGTAAAGAGTAGCAAGAGTACTTTTAAAAATGACCATTATGCCTACAGCACCTCACTTGCTTCCCTCAGCATTTGCAGTGCCTTGGCAAAAGATGAGAAGTTTTTGAATTACAGTATGATAAAGAACATATTGCATCTTTGGATGCACTGAGTGGGATATGAGCTGCCAACAACACAGCAATCCTCTAGTTTATACTCTGCAACAAAAGAGAGATCATAGGGAATGAGTATCAGCCACTGTAGGTCCTCTTTGTCAGGGCTACTTAAGCAGTATTTTGAATCGATTTCATATTATTAAACCTTCCACTGGTACAATGCACATGTACAAAAATGCCTCTAGCTGTATATCTGTGTATCTGTAGACATGTCTAAATGTTTGTGTGTATTTCCTCTCCCAGTCTCTAGCTGCTAAAGGATGTCTGACACCAGCAGCAGAAGATGTATTGATCTGGTCATAACAAATTAAGGCTGCTGAAGAGCAGATGTTAAAAACAGACTTCTTGGCATGTATCAGCCCCTGGTGGTATCAGTTGCACACATGTTCCAGTTTATTTATTAAAGCCATTGCTCTCTTCATTCTGTTTATCATCTTTCTCCTGGGCAATTCAGGCACATCCAAACCAACCCTTTCCAGTCAGTCAGCTCTCCTTGGATGTGAATTTTGCTTCAGCTCGGACAACACCCTACAGCTCTTCCTGAGAAACAACCAGCCCATCCCACTGTTCTTAAAAGCAGATTGAAATTTATCAGCTGCAAAAAATTACCCTGGCATCAATACAGTGAAAATAAATACTCGGGAATCTCTGTAATTTGTGCCTAAGCAGGTACATAGTGGGGTCAGGGAGGCCATCCGGAGGGGGAATTTCAGTTCTGTGGGCACATGGCACCCGAGAGTCTGTGATGCACCATAGGAGCCTATTGTGGCAGGAGGGGCCTGTTAATTGAAAGAATAGGAACAAAACACAGCCCTTTGTCCATCCAAATCTTGTTTATCCCATTTTATTGCAAACAGATGCAGAGCTGTGAAATTAATGCAGAGCAAAGGGACTTCCTTGAGATCACACCAGTGCATCAGAGAGCAGTGTGGTTTCCATGCATTAGATAGGTGTGACAATGGTCCTTCTGCAGGTCATCACCAGCCTCCTTGAACATTTGATACTCGCATACTCCTGCCATATTCTTGGGGAAGCACAGGCTTATGTTCTGCAGTTTATTTCTGCCAGGAATAAGGCACAATGCTCTTGGCCACAGCTTCATTATGGTAAAATTCAAGGCCCTTACTCAAGGAAGCAGAGTCCTGTGCCCAGGACTGGTACTCAGCTTCAGCAGCCCCCCCATTGCCTGGTGCCCCACCTCTGCATACTCAGCAGCTCTGCTGCAGCCCTCTGCCCACTTCCCTGGCTGCTGCATGTGCTTCTAGAGCTGCCTACTTCAGAAGGATGAAAAAGAATTAAATATTACCCTGATATCAAGCCAGCAGTGGACAGCTGGATCTGGACAGGCAACAGTTTTTCCAGCCTCTCCTCATTTTGTCTGTCTCCCTTTTTTCCTGCTTTAACCCTCCTGCAAACTACAGGGAAGGGTTGTTTAATATGCATTTTAGATCATTTTTTGCTCCTCAGACACCAGAAGCTCCCCCTCACATTTACAGTAGTGTTCTCTGTTCTTAGGAAATCTGGCAGGTTTTAGAAACTTTGCTGAAATACTAATTGCAGTAAATTTTTATGGAAACAGATGGGGGAACCAGACAGCCAGAAATTTAATAACTCCTCTGAGTACTTAGCAGCAGAAACACCAGTCCCCAAATTCATTAAGAAAAAGAAGTGATTAATGATGATATGGATTTTGAATAATGATAGAAAGCCTTAAACTGTACAACTTTCTGATGCTCCTCATTTATTGTGCCTTATTGGCTGCCTGGACTACTGAAGATGAAAGGGCTGGGGAGGACAGAGAACATATATTTTAACTTCTGGGTAAAATAAGTGAAATAATGATCCAGTGGCAACATAGTGATCTTTTCCATGTGAGCACGTGTTCCAGAGACTCCCTGCACTTAGTCCTACAGCACAGCTGAGTTAATCTAATCTTCCCATTTAGCACATAAGAGAAATGGAGGAAAATCTTAATTATGCCTGCATTTGTGGTTACAGTCCAATCCCCTGACACTGGAATCACTCACATCTGTTCTCAGCTCATTTTATGGGCTGCTGCAATGACTTAGTTGACTCAGGAAGCAGAATTAAGAAAAACTTTGCAACAGGATGGTCCTAAACTCCTAAACAGTTGTGCCTTTCCAAATGGTCCCAGTGGAACGTCCCTGACGTTTCCAGAGTGCCTGGAAGCAGGACACTGGGTTCCTTCAGCCACTGAATTGCTTGAGTCATTCTGGTGATTTAGTGCCTTCCTTTTTATAGGAGAGGATTAACAGATCTGGTCTCTTCCAAAGGCTGCAGCCAGTGTTAATGAAACATGGGGTGGGCTGTCCTCTCCTAGGAGAAGGAATGGACATCAGTGCTGAATCCTCTGACCCTCCCCTTCTAACCAGTACAGACCATTAGTACACCAAGGTCATCCTGGTGGAGGCCTAGCATGACCCCTTGGACTGTTTTGCTGGACCTTTCTAAGGAAAAGACTCAATTAAAATTGGATTTCCTTGAATTTCATGGTTTTGGACAGCTTTTGGACCCCTTCTTGTTCCATCGGGATGGATGGATCCTTTATCCCAATGCTGTGGTCCAGCAGTGCCATGCAGTAGCCTTGGCTCCTGGGAGAGGTGTGTGGCTCCAGCTCAAGAATGACCCAAGATCTGCTGCTCAACTCCAGCAGCCTCTTGGCAGAAATAAATTGCAATTGGTTTTGTACAGACAAGGAGCAATATTTTAGAGAAATCAGTTCGTTGCCAACTGTTTGCTCAGCTCAGAGTTTTTATCAGCTAAATTCCCTCTCTAGCTCCCAGGGAGCAATGGCTGATAGGAAGTGCTTGCATTGACATATAGAGCAGCCACTGTGGCCAAAACGATCCACCTATTGGGAGGTGCTACTGAAGAAAGGAGCTCAAGGGCTCTTTGAACTGCTGAACTTTAGCATGTAAACTACAGCTATTCTCTAAGTGTAAACTGTGCAAATAATAGCTTGCTTTAAAAAAGCATGCTATGTGTTTGGCACTCTGTACTTCATATAATTCATTTTTAGTATCATTTAATTCAAAGAAAAGTCTTTTTCAGTCTGTTTTGGCTACTCGGAGATGGACAGAGAAACCAAAGTACATTTATGACAGAGTAGGGAGAGGGAGCAAAGAGCCAAAGGGAGTACAGACTTGCGTAAGGACTTTCCGCTGGGATACTTTGCCTGCCCCAAAGCTCCTGCACACCCCTTTTTGGAACCGCTTCAGAATGCTGCCTGTGTCCTGTAAGATCACATCAAGTCGAGCTTCATTTTCCCCTTCTGCAGGGCCAGGGACAGCAATAGAATGGATGGAGGCAACTGCTCCACAAAGAGTCCCATCCCTAAATCCATACCAGAGACAGGATGTGTGTGCTGCCCTATCCCTAAAGTGGAGGTCAACAGCAAGGGAGGAAGGCTGCCTAACCTCAGTCTTCCTTTTCCAGTTTCTAGTATTTGAGTCACCAATTACAGGTCTAACCCACAGGGATGCTCCTGGAGGGAGGTGAAAGAGCAGCTCCAGAAGAGGAGGGAATGGGACTGGGGCTTTGCACCCACCTAAACATTTTCAGGTTCATAAATCCTGTCAGCTACAGAGACTTAACTTTTTTTTGGCATTTTAGACTATCCCTGGAGGCATGTATTTGCATCTGTAGACACCCAAAGCCTTGAACTATTGCTTTAATAGCCACTGAATACCCAGATACTTCAGTCTCTTCTCCTGGCTGCAAGACATCTTCTCTGTTTTGACACTGTGGAGCACAACCCTTCGTTGAGAGGCAGCAGAGAGGTCTTTCCCAGGAACAGCGGAAGGGGACTGATGACAAGAAATTCTTGTTCACCTTCCTGTGACTTTCCAGGGCCCTTTTCCTTTTCCTTCTGTTTTGCAGCAAGAGAGAATTTCCAGCTCTTCTCTTGTCAGTGGGTTTATCGGAGCTGGTTTCCGATGTGAAGTTTCCCAACAGTGAAAGTTTCTGTTCATTTCTTTGCATCATGCCATCGTGAGCCCCATTGCCATTCCCAGCAGATAACCTATCATTTGTATTCTCTTGCAGAAAAGGCATTATCCAAGAGAAACACAAAAGCATGAGAACATAGGCTGTTTGTGTGCAGAGAATAAGAAGCATATGACATGCGAATTTGCCAGATGTTACCACTCTGAATCTTATTAAAATATTCCCTGTACTGACCAGGCTACTTTATCTGTACATGGAAGAAGTTGGAAGATAAGAGGAATTTTTACTGAGAGTGCTATAGTGGCCTGACCAGGCAGCCTGGGAACAATTCCCTGACAGCATCGTGATTCCTTCATCCTGTTGACGTGGACTGTGTGTAGTCCTGACTGCTGCTCCCTTTTGCAATATCCTTCCTTAGAATCATAGAATCGGAGAATAGTTAGGGTTGGAAAGGACCTTAAGATCATCTAGTCCCACCCCCCCTGCCATGGGCAGGGACACCTCACATTAGACAATGCTGTCCAAGGCTCTGTTCAACCTGGCCTTGAGCACTGCCAGGGATGGAGTATTCACAACTTCCCTGGGCAACCCATTCCAGTGCCTCACCACCCTAACAGGAAAGAATTTCTTCCTTATATCCAATCTAAACTTCCCCTTTTTAAGTTTTAACCCGTTACCCCTTGTCCTGTTACTACAGTCCCTAATGAAGAGTCCATTCCCAGCATTCTTATAGGTCCCCTTCAGATACTGGAAGGCTGCTATGAGGTCTCCACGCAGCCTTCTCCAGGCTGAACAGCCCCAACTTCCTCAGCCTGTCTTCATATGGGAGGTGCTCCAGTCCCCTGATCATCCTCGTGGCCCTTCGCTGGACTTGCTCCAACAGTTCCATGTCCTTTTTGTGTTGAGTACACCAAAACTGCACACAATACTCCAAGTGAGGTCTCACGAGAGCAGAGTAGAGGGGCAGGATCACCTCCTTCGGCCTGATGGTCACGCTCCTTTTGATACGGTTGGCTTTCTGGGCTGCGACTGCACACTGCTGGCTCATGTTCATTCATGTCTATTCAGACTGAGACTCCTTTTCCAGAAGTACATGGACCAAGATGCAGAAGACTAAGAGCCATGTCAGGTCTTCCACAGTCACTCTTACGGCTTTACTTCTTTGTGCACAGCACCCAGCTAACAGATAGGAAGAATTACTGTCTTTCAGTCCTCCATTTGCATCCCAGGGCTAGTGATGCTCTGCTAAAATAGTTCATAACTTCCATGAGCACAGGCTCTGGGTCAGAGCTACAGATTCTCTTTAGTGTAGCTGCAAGGTCATCTGCCTCTTCTAGACAAGCCAGCTCCTCTACAGATCATCTACTGTTCTGGTGCAGGCAGGGGCCGTGCAGCTGCCTGTGAGCAAGATGTGCCAGCTCCTGCTGGGAGATGTCAGCAGACCTGCATTCAGCT